TACTATCCTGGGACCAGTAAGTCTTTACCTGATACGGATGTTTCCAAATCACAGTTTAAGTTTGGTCCATGACTACAATATAAGGCCACTAGACTGAGTCTTAGGATGTCTGTGTGAGTTATCTGAAGTTAAGTTAATGTAGCCAATATACCTCTCCCCGATCCCAATAACAGATAATTACTACTCGCCTCATTTCTCACATTAATCTCAGGCCTTGCGGGGAATGGCTTCATCTAATGAGGATTCAGGTTAAACAACATAACGGCGATGAGTCTTACAGCCACCTAGTATAATCAGTTGAGTGGTTAGTACCCCTGGGCCCGAGAGGATAATCATACTAACAGTTTTCCATCTACAGCTATTTATAACACAAGGGTTACATTAATATGAAGGTCCTCATAGATGGGCTTTGCCCTAGTTTAAATATGAATAACAACAGCAAAATGGCTGTATGAAAAAACGAAACACCATATTTAAAAGGGTTATGTGGTTACAGGGCTCATTTTGTAAACCTTCCTGTTTCATGGGTTTCATTCAAGTTGGAAAACACTTTCCCCCTTTTTTGCGTTCAAGCCCGTTGGATTGGGTATTCTTTATAGACTTCAACAGACACAAATGAAGAACAAACCAAACTGAGAGACCAAGGGACAGCTTGCAGGGCACAGACAGGGTAGTCTCAATTGCGGGGTGGGGGGGGGGGAAGGTTTAGCGCTGCTAGGACTGTTAACTAGCCAATGTCAACAGTGAGCTGTAGAGGTTACATGGATTAGCAGGTCATATATAAGGAGATGAGCCTGCCACTGAGATGGTTTATGTATACCTATGACTTTCAATTTAACACATAACCGTAGAGGTTATTACACACTAGCTAAGACAACACGAATTCGAGGGGATAAGCCTATCCAAGAGACGTGGGGATAGGGAGAAGATGGGGCTAGGTTACATCGCCAAGTTCCTAGTGGCTACCATTAATTCCTTTAAAATACATACTATTACTAGGCTATAAGCAAAGTTATTCCCTACATTAGGTGTCAGAGTTATTCATCCAGCGTGATCATTACGAAGCAAGGTAGCAAGGGCCTCTATAGGCTTTACAGGAGGCGACATTCGGACAGACGATCCCTTATTGGAGTGAGAAAGGGGGTACTGCGCCCCCCCCCCCGGTTGATTTTGTTCTTCAGTTTTTCAGCTCCTGTTCATGCGTCTTGCTGATTTATCTTACATCCCGATGGAGGCCTGTTACATTATGAGGCGGCACGAAGATGTTAGTTCGCCAGCTTCGCAAGGCTGGCCATTATCGCCGCGGGCAAGAGGGGCGGTTTGAGACATTTGGGGTTTCAACCCATTAGTGTCTGGACGAAGGTTGGAGAGTTGAGATCCTTCTGCGAGCCCTGACACCTATATATATGTTATAATAATGGAACACTGGAGGCGCTCCCAGGTTCGCCACTTGTTACATAATTTTGTGTTTATCATGTTAAGGGAGCACGGGAGGCGCTCCCAAGTTCGCCACCTATACAGCATGTATTGTTTTTTACGGTTAAGGGAACACTGGAGGCACTCCCAGGTTCGCCTTATTTACAGCGGTATGATGTCAGTATGTTTTGGCAACACTGGAGGCGCTCCCAGGTTAGCCACTTGATACAGCATTGATTATTTCAATTATATTGTGGGAACACAGGAGGTGCTCCCAGGTTTACCGCTGGTTACAACATTTTCAATATAACGGCAAACACTATATGATTCTTATTCACACAATATAAAATGGACATGTGTTTTTTATAAAGGGGCAACTTGTTGTTACAAATTTGGCCATAAATTGACAAGGACTGTTTGGAAGGTGGGGAGATGGGGGCTAAGTGGACACTTGCCCCCATCTTGTGGCGGAAAACAGCAATAAAGAGTTATATTTGGTGTGCACCCTAGGCACCCCTTCTGGGGGCGAAGGCCATTAACGGAAATATCAACGAATGGTACAYTGGACAAACTGATATATAAAAGATATATGGCCTTAAAATGGGAGGGATCTGACCTCAATAGCCTTGAGGAAGATTCATCCAATACATTTTCCTAAAGGTTACCCGGGTTTATGTTACCAGGGGACCGGGTGCTTCGCCCTATTTTAGCCGAGGGGTAGGCCGGGAAGGGACACTACCTCRGCTGTATWCATTACAAATTCAAGATAGAAAAGTAAAATTCAGTTACAAATTAAAATGGTAACAATAAAGTTGCCCAGTTTCAACCCATAATTGTTGTCTGTGTCTTCATTCGGGCGGTTAGCAGGCAATGACCATTCCAGGCTCCTGCGCAGCTGGAGACTGGAAAAGGCCTTTGCCTCTTCCGCCCGGTGAAGAAACCAACCCAAAGTAGTTCCAGCAGGAACTACTTTGGGGGGCGGAGCTGGAGGAGTTAGATCCCTCCAGCTCAGTCTTTTCCAAGACTTCGACCCACCACGCCCGCCCATTAACAGTGTAAATAATTGGTTGCCCTAGGGAGCCGGGCAGGAATTTTTCTCCCTCCTGAGTTTTTGGGGGGTTTTTTCGCCTGCCCTACACTGTTACCAGAAGGCAGTTTGGGTTAGGTGGTTGTTAAATAGGGTAGCGGAAAACAGCAATAAAGAGTTATATTTGGTGTGCACCCTAGGCACCCCTTCTGGGGGCGAAGGCCATTAACGGAAATATCAATGAATGGTACATTGGACAAACTGATATATAAAAGATATATGGCCTTAAAATGGGAGGGATCTGACCTCAATAGCCTTGAGGAAGATTCATCCAATACATTTTCCTAAAGGTTACCCGGGTTTATGTTACCAGGGGACCGGGTGCTTCGCCCTATTTTAGCCGAGGGGTAGGCCGGGAAGGGACACTACCTCGGCTGTATTCATTACAAATTCAAGATAGAAAAGTAAAATTCAGTTACAAATTAAAATGGTAACAATAAAGTTGCCCAGTTTCAACCCATAATTGTTGTCTGTGTCTTCATTCGGGCGGTTAGCAGGCAAAATGTTATTCTGTTTGTTGAATGCTTTCCACATGTGCTATTGGTTAACAGAATTACAATAAAATAGTTGGGATAGTGAGCACAATTTGCATCAGTCATTTACTGTAATCAGTCTTACTTTGAGGCATCAATAAAGTTAACTGGATTGTATTTAATGTCAAAGTAATTACCCTCTAATTACATCAATTTGCCTTCTTTTAAAAAAGTACAGTGAAAGCTATAAACCTTTCACTCTCCACATCAGAAGGTTGTGTGTGTGTTTTTACACTGGTTTCTAATAAAGGAAAACTAGTTACATAATACCCCAGTGTAAACATGTCAAGTGTATTATCTAAATTATTCTTGTCAAGGAAGAGTTTAGGAACCAGTGCTAATCTACCCTTTATTGCATACTGCAAAGAGTAAAGATTTGTTTGTGATATGCCAAGTGGAGTCACCTTGCCTGACTTAAACATCTTTAACAGATTTCCTTTTTGTATTTTCCTGCCGAGGAAATCTGTCAACATCTTATGTTTTATTCCCTCTAGTTCATTTGCATACTTAAACTCTCTTAACCTCAGTTTGTATTGCTGATATTTTATTTTTGCGTATTTCACTACCACAATGCAAGCAAAACACATTCATTTATTTGAAATTTAACTCTAGATGAATGCTCATTATCAAAAGCACTCTTAATTAGGGTCTTTTATGTCTCATGCTATTTGCTAACTGATCACACATTTGGTTTTTCAATTCTCTTTTCCACATTCATACACATTATTGTCACAATTTTATTGCATATTGGACCAATGAGCAATGGGATCCAATATACAATGGAACCCAATGTGCATGAGGACAGATGAACAATGCGTCACGACCAGTTAGGTAGTGTGCATTGGGACATTCTCACTGGTCTTGTTATTGCTCTTTGCAGTTCACCAATATGGTTTGTTAAGACATAGCTACCAAGCTAAGTGTGCCTAATGTTATACTATTATGAAACACTAGTTTATTGGTATCACTAACCTAAAGGTACCAGATACTATCTAATCTTGAATGCTAAGCAGGAGCAATCTTGCTTAGCTGGCTTGACCTTGAGGTCACAAAGGAATACCAGGTGCTTCAGAAGAACGCAATGGCAAACCAATTCTTGATATCCCTTGCCTAAGCCAACTATGAAATTCATGGGGTTGAATGTGAGAGTTGAATTCAAGTAAGGTCCAAGTTATTTGAAGGACCATATCTGTCTCTACAAATCTGTCAGTTACCTATAATCAGCTGAGGAGGGACCTCTCTCTGTCCTACCACCTGCTCAAGCATGTTTGCTAGGAACATAGGAGAGGCCCTTTTCAGTGGCTGCTTCCAGACTTTGGAACTCCCTCCCAAGAGAGACCAGGATGGCCCCATCCCTGCTGCAAGCAGGTAAAGACCTTTCTGGGTCAGCAGACATTTGGGGGGGGGGATGATAAGGGGCATTCTGCTGAGGAGGTTGTGGAGAACATTCGGGGGGGGGGGGGTAAACATAACTTTAATTGTATTTATTATATTTTAACTGCATTTTAAGTTATATTAATTACGTAAATATTTAATTGTTTTTAATTTTGTGTAATTGCCATTTTATTAGGTTGTCATGTAACTGTGAGCCCCCTTGACTCCCTGTGTGGAGAAATGCAGGATAGAAACAAAGTAAATAAATAATAGCAACACTATTCCATCAATCAGTTGTGTGGGACATGAGAGAAACCTCCCACAGGATGGTAACACATCCGGGCGTTCCCTGGGCAACATCTCTGAAGACAGCCAATTCTCTCATACCAGAAGTGTGGTTTCTGAAGTCACTCCTGACATGATAAGAAAAATCAATTGTGTACTGAGATTGTCATGAAAAATTCCATAGTTGTTCCCATGAAGGAAATACACATGATTTATGAAAAGGAAATGTACATGTTCTGATAACTGAATCCAATAAAATTTTCTGCCTGTTTATGTACTCTGGAAGAATAACCAAACAGACTCAGTTTTATAGCATACTACATGTTTAATCTATACAGATTAAATTCAAATTTAGCATTATAAAAAGATATCAAATAAATTCTGAGTAAAAAAATGATATTCCATGTTGTTTTTACAAAGATAAACTTACATTAGTATTTTGTGCCCTACTCCACAAAATCTCTAACCACAAGACTAATTTTCTTTTGCTCTGTTCCACAAAGTACAAAGTTAGCCAACAGTATATTATCATGTAGCTATGTAGGCAGATACAAACACAGAGCCTGTATTAGAATCTGATTACCAACTGTTATTCCTGTGCCTTGTCCAGGCTGTTTTAATGAACAAAAAAATCACTGTTCATTGCTACAATCCTAAATAGGCACATCATTTAACATTATTTTTTGGGATGCTGGCAGTGTGTGTCTACCCTGTGCATTAATCTCTCTGGCTGCTTAAAATTTATTGCTATCCAAGGTCTGAAGCTCGGCTCATTATTTTTTGTTCTTTTCAAATCTTTTGTTATGAAGTTCACATCTGCTAGTTCATGTCCCCTTAAGGCATTCCAGGAAAGAGGTGGAAAAAAATCTCCAAAAGATTGGAAAGGTATGAAAACTTGTAAGAACATCTCCCAGATGGCAAGAAGGATGCCCTAAGGGAGTGCCTGTGCTGAGCGCATTTTTTAAACACAACTGTTCATAATTTGTTCAAGTGATGGTTTTACCTTTGTAGATCCTGGGGCACCACAAGTTATGCATCATAGTCCAGCCAACTGTAAGAAACACTTGACAAGCCAGATTCACCTTCTTTGTCTCCTTATAATTAGATTTACAATACTGAACAAATACTCCCCTTTATTACATTATTATGTCTTGGAAGAAGCATTTTGAGTGACACAATGAACTTCCTGTCAGATTGTTGGCAAGCTAGATCATCCAAACAGAAAAAAGGGACTGAAAATAAAATAAACATATATTATAACAATGTCCTCTAAAAACAAGATAGAGAAAAGAACTCTACAAAACCTTAATGCAAAAAGACAAATGAAGAGAGAAGAAAAAAAAACCCTTTAAAATCCTTTCATTGTTGCATTCTTGACGTACAGTTCTGCTCTGGAGTAGCCCAACACAATTATTAAAAAAACAATGTCACCCTAAAACACAACAGAGAAAATTCCCCCAGGCAATATTGATTTCCAGCCTTTGTTTGGACTTAGGAGCATGCAACCTCAAATACAGATAAAATAACCTTTTGAATACAGCAGACTTCAAATAAAGCTGGTTCTCAGTATAACCATCATCAATATTATTAATTATGTAGAAAACAAGCGATACAACTGGAAATAAAAACACTAAGTCTAGTTTCTGTGTCAATGCCTAACATAACATTATTCTTTCAAAACAGATTAAATGCAAACTTTTACACCTTCAGGACGTATAGATTTGAGACAACAGAAAGACACATACATTGTATGTGATAACTGTTTAAAACAAGCCGTTACTACATTTTCACAGATTTTTAATGTCTGTTTAAATATCTCATTTCTACAAAGTGAATTTACATTTAAAGTACAAAGTGCAAATACTACATTTTATTGCCTTTTGGTGAGGGATTCTCCCATATGTCTGAGAGATTTGCCTTAGATATGAAATGTTCAGCCTTGTTTCTTTGAGGTCTGCTGTCAAAGAGAATTGAAAAAAAAGATAGTATTTTACTTTGGTATATATGATATATTATAACAATAAGCAATCATTTGCATATATATTCACTTTCAGCATAAGAAAAATCTACACCAGTGCTTTTTGGCCTTAATTAGTCCAAATGCTTTGCATTTCAACTTTCAGAAAAAATCCATCCAGCATTCTGGAAGTTGACATGCAAGACTTCTCGGGCTCTTAAAGTTAAGAACCATGAGTCTATAAATGCCTATACATTTCTGGCAATAAAACTCACAGATGACCACCTGCTCATTGGGATTAACATCATTAGGGTTATAAATCTTTGTTTATTCCACTCTCACAGCCTTTTTTTTATCCCTCACAGGAAGAAACCCCAATATACCAAAGTGCTGGTCTTTGTGCCCATGGCAGTTGGCAATATTTCCCCTACTTTTTGGAAGAATAATGATGAACAAAAATGCAAATATTCTTGTTTGTTAGAAGTTGTCTGCTCTATTCCTTTGTTCCTCTATTCCTCTAATGTTTCATGCTGAATTCTTGGCTTTTCATTGAAATCAGTGGTTCTAAATCTTACAGGAGTTTGGGACTTCAACTCCAAGAAGTCACAGCCATCTTGGTCAATGGTCAGGAATTCTGGAAGCTGAAGTTCAAAACACTTGGAGAACCAAAGATTGGGAACCATCATCATAAATCATAGCCAGAACACTCCACATTGAATCTATCAATCACAATACTCCCCCCCCCGACCTCCTTATGTGTCATGTGTTAATGAGCTGCAAGACTTCACTTTTTCATATTCAAATACTGTAAATGGAAGTAGTAAACGTTTTCTTGGTGGCACTGAGAAATCAAAATAGTGCTGTGACATTAAAGAACACTAGACCCGGAGTGCAGGATTTTCAGTTAATTCTAACAGTGAGAAATGTAAGGACTGCTTTAGTATTGCACCCCACTATCTAGATGCAGAAATGTACATTTTGAATACCACTGCCCCACATGTGTGGTAAGGACACACTCACATTTACAACCATGAGAGCATGGTAATGTAGAAGGCATTAAAAAAAACCAGCCTGTCTATGTGTTCAGTGGTACGATTCTTTTGAATCACTACAAAATAACAAATGAAGTATCATACTATGACACCCTTCCTTAAAAAGAGGCAAAATTTTATCACACTGGAGAAAGGGAGCTTACCAAGGCCATTCCACACAGACAAAGTAACATGCAAAACTATGGACTGCAGAAACTATGCAGTGTGCTTTTTTCCAGTCCAGAATTCTATCACCTCAGTTTATCACCTCATTTACCATAATGTACAGCTTGCGTCCAGACTAAACTGAAAATGCTAGATCTCCTATTATCACCCCCTGTTGCCCATTCCCCCAATAGGTGGGTGGCTTTGTTAAATCTGTTTCTTGTAAGGCATATTCATTTCCAAAGTGCAAGATCTTGTGATGAAAGCCACCTTTGGCAACTGCAAAAAACCCTTTATAGCCTCACATGGCTAAAGCCGTTAACTGCCACCAGATGGTTTGCACAATGAGGACCATTTCAAGGCTATCATTTCACAGCATGAGCTTTTAAAATAATTGAGACTGAGTCAGCAAAAAATATTTAAAGAAATGAAGAAGTTAAACTCTGAAATGATAGGACTATTTCACTATATACAATACACGTTGTTATCAGATTACAGGAAGCCAGGAGAAGGGGAGACAGAGGAAAGCCATGTTATGCTTTGTGCACAGCGTACGGCATGTGGGGGCACTAGTATATAATTAAAATAACCTTTCAAATAACTTTGAGTTTTACCAGAGTAATGGTTTTCAGACTGCCTTGTTTAAAATGTAAGTGATGTGCAGAGAGCCAACTCTCTGGCAAGAGGAGAAATGAACAGATTTTTTTAGCTGTGAGAAGATTCTCTACCAAAGGTGTGAAAACCCACACTAAATTAGCACATGCCTTAGAGAATGCAAATCCAGCAAATGGTAATAACCAAAAGGTGATTTCATATGATTACTGAGTGGTGAAGGCTTGACCTCTCCAACATGTGGAAGTTTTTTTCTTGCTATTTTTAAATGGATTGACATATGCAACCCCCCCCCCCCCCTTCGGTTGCAGCAGCTCCACTGGCTGTCAGTTTGTTTCCAGTCACAATTCAAAGTGCTGGTGATGACCTTTAAAGCCCTAGGCCAGACATAGGCAAACTTTGGCCAGCTGTTAGGAATTGTGGGAGTTGTAGTTCAAAACACCTGGAGGGCCAAAGTTTGCCCATGCCTAGATGGTTCAGGTCTAGGCTATTTGGCTGATGGTATTTCCTTGTATAAGCTTGCCCTAGCTCTGAGATCTCCAGGAGAGGCCCTTATCTTAGTTCACCTCCATCAGAAGTTTGGTTGGTGGGAATGAGAAAAAAGGTATTCCTCCTCAGTGGCTGCCCCTTGACTCTGGAACTCCCTGCGCAGGGAAGCCAGAATGGCCCCTTCTCTGCTGTTCTTTTGGCAGCGGGCTAAAACCTTTTCATTCAGGCAGGCTTTTTAAAGAAGACGGTTTTTAAGATCAGTTCAGGGGATGCTGTGGGTTTTAGTTTTGAATATGCTTTTAACCAGTTTTAAGGATTTTGATTAATACCCTTGATGGTTAATTGTATTTTAATGTTTGTATGTTTTTGGATTTTAAATTGTATTGAAATTATTCTAATGTACACTACTTTGAGTCTCCTTTCTGGAGGGAAAAAGCGGGGTATAAATAAACATAATAAACATAATAATAATAATAATAATAATAATAATAATAATAATAACTGCCAACAACCCATATTGGCTGAATATAGCTCAAAACCATAGAGCATGGAATGACTTCCTTTATGTACTCACCTGCCTGTTGGAAGGAGTGCTTTCACCATTATTTTTTGGAGCTGTCAAGAAGGAGAAAAGGCATGTTAATTCACAGCAAGAAATGTAGTCCTATCTAATTATTCCTGCAGGTTTGTCAAATCTGTGAATTTGTTTATTCACATATTTGTCTACATCTCTAGGAATTCCTAGGTTCCTCAATACAACTCCATGGTTAACTTCTCCTAGATGTTGACCATAGCATTCTGTTGGACAACCTAGATTCCTGTTGAGGTGTTATCACAGGAAGAAAAAGTATGAGGATTATGATTTGCAGAGGTGTTTTTTAAACTTTTCTAGGAGTCCTGTGTTCCTAACCCTAGCAAACATGGAGGATTGATTGTATGATGAAACCGAAATATTAGACCTGTCCTATTGTCATGTGAAGACTGATAATCTGAACATGAGAGTTTCTGCTCTTCACATAGAGGATCTCCTTTTGAAATTGTTACTTGCCCCATTTGGAAAGTATAACTGGGGGGGTGGGGCGGGCACACATTTACAATTATATAAAAGGGCGACAAATCCAGGCTTCTCTTTTCCTTCTCTTCCTCCTCAGACCTATCAAGTATGTGCCAGGTTTAATTGTGATCCAGAAGTCTGCTCCTTTGGGATTTTTGCTGGCTTTTAAAATTTTGGGCTGATCCCCATTTTGATTCCCGGGTTCATCATATTCTCTGTTTCCTTGGCATCTTTAGTTTTGTAGTTTGGAGGAATGTACTGACCATTATAGTTAATAATTCTTATTAATTCACTACATTACTTTTCATGACTGAATTCTAGTATAACGCCAAGGTTTTAACGTTGTTTGTGTTCTTTTAAATCCATTATAACCGTACCCCTCAATTTGCTTTTGACACGATAAATAAATAAAAAAATAATGCTATGATTTCATAGGATTCAGTCATGGAAAGTAATGTAGTCTCAAACCGATGTATAGTGCAGATACAATTAAGGTTTGCTCAGCAGCCATTGAAAAGGAATAGAAAACAAGGGAAAGAATAGAAATGGAAAAGAGTATCTGGAATCTTTAACAACAAGCTTACCACATTACATCATTATGTTCTTGATCCTATTTGCTACTCCCAAGAAAATATTGCTAAAAGAGGGGGTAGTTTGTTGGCCTTGGGAATAGCAGTTCTACGACTGAATCTCATTGTGGTGATCCACCTGCTCAATGCCTAGACTTCTTCAACCAAACATCAGATATGCAATGAAAAACTTTTCAGAAAATCCTCTTACTATGGCGTTTCCTTGTGTCTGCTTTATTGTCTTCTTTTGTTACACCAAGGCAACCCATGAGTTCTGAAACTGTTAATGATTTGTCGTTATTCACATCACAGTATTCCACAAACTTTTTCACACATTTTTTGGGCTTGGACTTTTTCCTCAGGAATCTCTTAAATGGCTTGATCTCTTTTTTTCCAATGTCACCGCTGGCATTTTTATCCAGTTGTTTAAAATACCAGTGGACCACTCTCTCCTCCAGAGTGTGATTTGGATCTGGTTCTGAAAGCCTGAAAACAAATAGATTACTGAGTGAGCATAATTTTGAATATCAATAAAAAGGTAACTACACACAAAGTGATTGCATTGCTCATGGAAAGTTATTTCAAAACTGGAAAGGAAATATATGCATTTAATGTTTGCATAGGAGAGGGATTTTTATGGATATTTATTCCCATCGAACCAGATAACAGGCAGCACCTGCTAAAATTCTGTCTTTTACAGCAAAGCCCTCTCCAGTTTTCACTCTAGCAATCCTATTCTCAGCCCATAGAATCTTCAGGTTTGTTTTATATATCCACATAACAACATGACCACATACAATCCTGCATGAGCTCCCCTTTACAAGACAAATTATAAGGATGTATCATAGAATGTGTCAATTTGTTCTACATCATTGTGAACTTAAAATGAAGATCAAAACAATAGCAAAATGTCATTTCAAGTAAGTTAATTGGTAACTTGTATTCTTTCCAAGAATCTCTTATTTCCTAAATATTTTTAGCTGAAAGAAAATCTCAAATTCACTTCTCATGTATTCCCTGCCACAATTTTGCCATTTGATAAAACTCAGTATTATTTACTATGTTTTCCTATACCTTCTCCATTGTCATTATAATTTATCACTCTGTAAATATTAGGAGATTTGGTGCAATAGCTGCCTGACCTATCTCAGTAATTCGTTTTTGTCTAGTGTTGTCAAGTTGACTTTAACTTATGGTGACCCTATAAATGAGAAGCCTTAAAGTTTCCCTATCATCAACTACCCTGCTCAGGTCTTTCAGACTCAGACCCGTGGCTTCTTTGATTGAATCTATCCACCTGTAATGTGGTCTTTTTTGTTCCTGTTACCATCTACATTACCATTATTGTATCTTCTACAGGGTCATGTTTTGTCGTGATATGGTCAAAGTGCAACAACCTCAATTGTCTCAACCAAAAAACATGAAAAACAAGAAATTAGTAGTGGCCTCTTTAATCCTACTGTTTAGTCATGGTTGGATGGCAGAGGTAAACCCCATTGACTCCTTTAGTTAGAAACTTCAGTAGGATTTTGTAGGAGCTGGAGGGTGTTGTAGACTTCTACACCAAACAGCTAACAAATTAGGTTGCAATCCTTTGTCCACTTATCCGACAAATAACTATTTATTTATTTTATTTACTTTACTTGTATACCGCCGTTTCTCAGCCTAACTGGCGACTCAACGCGGTTTACAACAAGATAATCAACAACAATATACAATTTAAAACCATAAAAGCACAATATACAATATCAACACAACAATAACAACACAATGCATCTCATAACTAGAGTCGTGATCCAGATTCGTCGTCCATATTTCCATTCCTGTAATCGTCACATTCATTGCACTGATTAACCAAATGCTTGTTCAAACATCCAGGTTTTTAATCTTTTCCGGAACACCATTAGCGAGGGGGCTGATCTTACCTCCATGGGAAGGGCGTTCCACAGCCGAGGGGCCACCACAGAAAAGGCCCTGTCTCTCGTCCCCGCCAGCCGCACCTGTGAAGCAGGCGGGATAGAGAGCAGGGCCTCCCCAGAAGATCTAAGGGTCCTGGCGGGCTGATAGGCCGAGATACGTTCGGATAGGTAAGTTGGGCCAGAACCGTTTAGGGCTTTAAAGGCCAACGCCAGCACTTTGAATTGAGCCCGGTAGCAAATCGGCAGCCAGTGGAGCTGGTGCAGCAGAGGAGTTGTGTGCTCCCTGCGCTCCGCTCCTGTTAGTATCATGGCTGCCGAGCATTGGACTAGTTGGAGCTTCCGAACCGTCTTCAAAGGCAACCCCACATAGAGAGCGTTGCAGTAATCTAAACGGGATGTGACCAGAGCATGGACTACCGTGGCCAAGTCAGACTTCCCAAGGTACGGGCGCAGTTGGCGCACGAGTTTTAACTGTGCGAATGCTCCCCTGGTCACCGCCGAGACCTGGGGTTCCAGGCTCAGCGATGAGTCCAGGATCACACCCAAACTGCGAACCTGCGTCTTCAGGGGGAGTGCGACCCCATCCAACACAGGCTGTAACCCTATACCCTGTTCAGCCTTACGACTAACCAGGAGTACCTCTGTCTTGTCCACTGAATTCAAAGTAATATGAATAATACAGGTCAAAAAGCAAGTTTCTGTCCAGATTTTGTTGGAGAACAACTTCCAACAATATTAGCCAGCATGGTTAAAGAACTGCAATCCAACATAATCTTAAATTTTCGTACATGTATGCACAGATCACTGGGAAATATGAACTTTAACTCAACACAGCAAAGCAAATATGCATCACCAAAACCTTGTAGAATGAGACTTGTGATTGGGAGGTAGAATAAATGGGTGGAACCTATTTCAGAGAAACTGCCCAAAATGAAAGAAGGAGTAGCATCATATGTCAATGATGTTTAGGCCTGTGAAGAGATCTATGACTTAAATCCTAGAAGCCAAATTGAGAGCATCTGGATAAAATTAGAAGGAAGATAAACAAGAGAAAATATTCTCTTTATGGTTTATCAGTGTGACTGGGTATAAGGCAGTTTGGGAGAAAAAATGCTAAATCACTCAGGTGTAGCAATATGAGGTTGGAAATTATGTTCTCTCTGACATAGCCTGGCTTTCTCTGAGTACTGGCCACAGCATGAGTAGAATGTGTTATTGAAAGTTCTATCTTAGCTCTTAAGGCATCATGTTGCATTATAAAAAAGGAAAGTGTGTTCCACTTGGCACAATATCAACAATTTCTAAAGTATCTGAATTATAGCATGTAATATATTTGTATAAACATTGCAGTGAAAAACAGAAGCTCTCCTCTTTCTATGGGATATTTAAAACTACACTCCAGAAAATTAAACTGAATGCTTTATTGGATTACTTTATTGCCTTTCACAAACTTAGCATCTAGTATTTCACAATGCTGGCCCTGACCCAGCTAAACTTGGTTTATGTAAGTCCCATTAAAACCATGCAACAGGCAAATCATGGCTTGTTTAGGATCCATTGCATTCAATGGAGTTTAGTCAGAACTTATTTCACCTGGAAGGAGATTTGAAAAGACAAGAATCCAGGAAAGGGGTCAAATCAGTAAGTCAAAATCATTAACCTGACAAGATGCAATGACTTCACAAAAAATTGTTAATTGACCCAGTAACTGAAGCAAACTCTATTTTGTTAAATTCTTTCCGCCTTTGTCTTGCTGATTCATCTTTCCAGTTCATCAGCATCTTTATTTTGGCAACTTTTTGTCCTACTGTGGGGTTTACTTCTGACTAGATGTGCAAATAATTCCAAGCTTAATCTTGTATTCTGTTCCTTAAACATAACGTGTATAGGACATTTTTAAATATAAGAATTTCTTATTTTGATAAAACATTGTAAAAATGAAACTGTCCTTTTCAATGTGAGTGAATGGCTTTGAAATTATTACTGTCTTTTCAATGCAGTTCAGACCTAAAGGGAACAAATGTTAATGGTAAGAAGAAGGCACTGCAGAGATTGAAAGACATTTTTGGAGACCAAGGGACAAAACAGATCAAGGCAGTGAAATGGACAAGTAAGTCAATGGGCTGGGAATAAGAAAGATGGACATTAATTTTACTTATTGGTGAAGATATGAATTTCATTACTTTAACACTGATTTAAATAATTTGAATGTAAGTCTCTAAATTATAATGCTTGTAATGCTGAGACCAGACAACTATATTGTGATAGCTATGGGCAACTTTTATTGAATTGTTGCCTAACTTTCTTCATGAACTGCAATCAACTAAAAGTTGGGACTTCAACTTGGTGTTTGATAAGCTTAGGCAGGGGCCATCCCAGAAACTCCCCTCAGATAACATGAATGAGACATCTGAGTTCCCTGCGTAACTTCATTTGAGTAGTTTCCAGGGCAACTGCTTAGAGAAGCTGCATAGAGTATTCAAACCCCACGTCTCTAGACATCCGGGATTAAAATTTCCCAGCAGCCCCAAGGTAATTTCAGTTTACCCCCACCTTATTTGTCCAAAAACACCGGTTGTGGTTCCTGTTCCTGGTCTTCAAGGAAATTGGTGCCTAAGGTACACACCGAGATGCTGAATTGTATCTACTTTTCCCGCGTGATAGCCTATGTAATGGCTCCACCTAATGCCAATTACTAAACTTGTGCATGGATCCATTTTAATCATTTTTCTTCTGTTTCTTCAGCTTCTCCAGACTCGTAATGGCAAGGGCTCAGCCGCCATGTGTTTTTTTTGCCCAAAATGGCCCATGTGGCTGCTGAGGGCAGCGTCTTCCCTCCTGTTTGGGAGAATGCAGTGCATGCTTCCTTAATCCTGTTCCTCAAACACAGACTGCCTTGAAAGGAAGAAAGGAAATGGTCCCAGGTGATTCCTTAATCCCGTTGCTCAAACCCAGGCTCCCTTGAAAGGAAGAAAGGAAAGCATCCCAGGAATGGAAAAGGGAGCTTTGCAAGTTTCTCATTACCACCAACGGGCTGGATCTTCCCAGATCTTTTGGCTGCCTAGCCCAAAACAGATTTTTCCATTAGCCAATTTTTGGAAGGCTCCTGAAAACAGATCTGGGTACCCAATGAAATTTGAATTCCAAGAACGGATCACCCTCCAGCCAAATTACACAAGCCTACTCATTAAACACAGCAGTGTAGAGTAGGTTTTAAAAAAACCCTTAAAGGAGGGTGGGGAAAATTTCCACCCAGACTCAAAGTGACCCCTTGGTACACTGCTATAGGGTGGGAAGGATGGGCCAGTGATCGCTGTTCCAATCCTGGAACTAAAGAGGAGGCACCTTAAATGCTGCACTCTGTCCTCAAAATGTAGTCCTGTCAAGGACTATTTTGCTAGTCCCCATTCATTGGAGTGGGCAAATAGCCATCCACATTCAGGCTGGCTGGATGGGGAAACCCAATTATGTCTATAGCACAACTAAAAGATACCGCTAGTACTTTATTACTGAATGAGATGAAAATGTGGATGGGAGAGGGAAGAGACTATTGAAAAGTAACATGTACTTTTTAATTGACTGAATGTTTTTTCTATTTTCTTACATAGGGATCAAAGAGAATTCTCATGCACACAGCCGAATGCAAACTTATTTAACAGAAATGCTGTAGCAGTCAAGGCACTCACTGGGTAATAACACCCTTGGGTGGGGAAATCATCATGTTTAAAGTAGAAAAATTCATCTAAATTGTAGAATTAATGGACTTATTGAACTGCCATGATTGAATCCTATGAAATCCCTGGAATTGTAGTTTGGTGGGGCACCAGTACTCTTGGACAGAGAAAGCAAATGATCCCAATTCTTATCCTTTCATAGCATTGAACTATGGTGCTTAATGTGTGTCAAACTATATTAATTCTACTCTATGATACACCTTGTGTCATGTTTCTTTTGTAAATTGATATCCTTTCTAACAGGCAGTTGCTTAGGTTCACACCCAACCACTGAAATCTTTTCCCTCTTAATCCCCAATGTATGAGAGCTGGCAATAGTAGTTCAGTAGGAAGAGAATTTCTTGTGAACCTATCATACGTGATTCTATTTTCGTTTAAATGTTCAGTATTGGACTAAGTTTTAAATTGTATCATGTATGCTCCATTAAGCTTATTAAGGTACAGCACCCTTCCATAAAAGTAAAACAATATGAGTATGTGGTGAAATGAGCATGTAGCATGATAGTTGGAAACCACTTTGAGTACCCCGCTGGGGTGAGAACAGCGGTATACAAGGAAGTAAATAAATACATAAATAAATAACATGAGGATGAATTCTGCAGATACTCCAGCTTCCCCAAAAGACACTTAAATGGGCCCTTGAACAAATCAGGCCAGAACTCTCCCTGGAAACCAATACGACTAAACTATGACTGTCATATCTTGAATATATCATGAGAAGGCAACTCACTAGAAAAGACAATAATGCTTGGTAAACAGAAGATCACATTTCAGATGAATAGACTCCAACAAGGAATCCATGGCTCTGAGTTGGCAAGACCCAAGCAGTGCTGTTGATGACAAGGTGAGTTGGAGATCTCTCATTTATAGGGCTGACATAATTTGAGTTGACATCAGTTAACAACAACCACTATTCAGCATTGTTCAGTTTATCCAAGAAAACCTGATACCCAGGAAGCCAAGTTAACATACCTGCTGGAAGATACAGAAGGATCAGAAACTGCATGCACCATATCTGTAGAAAGTGCATCCAGAACACTGGTCAAGAACTCATTCTTCTTGGCTCCTGGACAACCTAAATGGAAAGAGATTTTTCTTCTTTGTTTATCAAGTTACTAGAAGTTGTTTCTCAGTTATAAGTTGAAATGCAAAATCGCATGTGCAGTTTGGGGATGTCTTAGATGTTTTAGATAAAAACTAGGCTAAATCATGAGGAGTAATATAGCATAGTACTTGTACTACACAGAAGTTTAAAATTAAAACTTTCCTGTGGAGCCAGGCCTTCCCAGATGAATGATAATAGGCACTGCCAGATAACTTCTGGTCATTATCCACTTCTGAAAGCTTTATCAGTCCTGGCAACTGCGACATGGAGTTTTAATATGGAATCTCTTAGGAGCTATGTAATTTATTTTTACAAATAACCTCAGTAGCCTGGTATTTGTTGTAATAAATTATTCATTATTAAATATGAGAGTGTTCAAATTGTTTTTCTTCTTTAAATTGGGGTATGACAGTTTGGGTCCAGCTATTTCTCCAATCGCATCTTCCTATATAGGGCATCTCGTGCACTGCGGTCAGTGGAGAAGGCCCTGCTCTCAGTCCCACCCCTGTCTCAAGCGCGGCTTGTGGGGACAGGAGAGGGGGCCTTATTTGTGATTGCTCCCCATCTCTGGAACTTCCTAAAAAAATAAAAACAGCCCTCACCCCCCTCCTCTTTAAGAAACTTTTGAAAATACACTTATGCACCTTAGCGTATGGACAGGAGGAGGACTAAGATACTTTAATCCACCAAAATGTTGGTGAACCCATTTGTACTATGTGACGGTTATGATGTATTAATAAACACCTCTGTTAGCCATTTCAAATGCAATTTATTTTAACTGTTTTTAATTATATATGTTGAATGTTTACTCATGTCTTAGTTTTATTGTCTAATTGGTGTATTGCTACGTAGTTCTTATTTCAATGTTTATTTATTTCCATTATAAGTTTACTGTTGTTATTGTGATTAAGTGATTAAGTCATCTAGAGTGATTAAGTAGAACTATTTCAAGCACCTTGCATAAAATGGGTAATAGCTTCCCACGAGGCAGCTAGAGGTGTGAACCTTAATAATGTATATTTTTGTACAAGCCAAGTCACTCTTTACAAAATTCTAATGTAGCAACCATGTTAGTCTTTTCCAGTTGCTGAGGCAGTAGAATATCAGAGAAAGGGGAAGTAATGCTGTAGATTGGTGGCATGTGAATTAGAGAATGAAAAAATTGAGGATGGGGGGGGGGGGCAATATTACAAAAACTATGGCAGAGGTCCAGCCTGGTCTACATTCCAGCCCTCTTAACCCCACACTGAGATCTTTGTACAGACCGGATTCGTGGCGCCAAGTTTTCTTCTCCACAATAGAAGTTTGACATTGGGGTGGAGTGAAGGTTGACTGGCAAATAGGGTGGCGACAGTTCTGCCTAACTTGTGAAGAAGAGAATTGGAACTAAGCTGTTGTGGCACAAGTAATTGCTTGCACAACCTCAAGGCAATTCCATAAAATTCAACTGCCAAAATCTCATAAATGCTATTTCAGCTCACCTAGAGATCACTGAATCTAATTTAGGTTTTTTTCTGCCTTGTTTGGCTCAGTCATAAGCTTGAATTGTATCAACTCTTCCAACTGGAAATCTGCCACTACTTTCTGCAATAAACTCTATCCACACAAACATAAAATCTGTTTAGGCTTTATGGTGATTTACTTAGAATTCATTTATATAGGTTGTCCATTAAAATTCCACATCAGCTCTCATGTTTCATGTTTGATATAAATCTAGAAAATGTCCTTATAACTATTAAAGTCCTCTTCATCCATTTTTATTTTGTCTGGATCAGAAAAAATAACTACACAATTTTGTGGTGATGGGAAAGTTAGACAAAAGTAAGGTCTGCTTCTAGCAGATTTCAAATTTGTGTGAGTCCTTCACCATGCTGCCAGTGCTTGTAAATTATATAGTTCTGAGCTACTTCTACAACAGGTTTCTACTGAAGTTCATTAAAAATTATATATTGTGATACTGAAATTTCTGTTTACTATTTTCTAATTTTGCAAAATTTAAAAATACATTTTAGAGTGGAAATTGATCCAATGAGTTTCATAAGTAATTACTATAACACTGGTGGTAATGTAAAGAGTTACGTGGTTAAAACTTTTTAAAAATCCAGTCCTGTATCCTTTCTCACCCTCTTTCACATATCAGAAATCCCTGCAAGAGTTGAGAAAGTGACAGGTTTAAAATATACTATGCTAATCAGAATATGAAAGACTAGATAAGTACCTGCCCAACTAAGCAACACTTATCAGCATTATTCAAAGCCCTGGGGAAAGTTGCTGTGGCTGTTGGAACAATATTATCTAGATGTTTATGTTAAAGATTAAAACTTTTTTTTCTTTTCAAGGTTTTAAAAAAATCTGCAAAGGTACATTTTCTCTGTCTAGGATAATCTCATATTTCATCTTTCTTTTTCTGAGCTCATGATGGCACATTAATCCTACACCTGTGACTTCTGACATCTCTGCAAAAGCAAAAAAGCATTATAAGGTAAATGTAAACCAGACAAATCTTGTTCCTAATTATCTCACATCTGGAAACAGGCAAGATACAAAATATGCCAGATCTTTCTGATATTCAGTCAAACTTTGAAAAGTTTCACTAACATTTTTCTTTCAATATATAGAATTTTTTAAAGGGGACATTAGTTTTTTCCTTCTGTTTTGGAGTGTTTATTGAGTCTTGGGCCAAGTGAAGTTTCTTCAGATTGGTTAAATCATGAATTACTAGGAAATAAAATCTAAGAAGTTATAGCATGTTGTAGCCGAGAAAATAAGAGTTTATCACAACAGTGCACTTCCTGTGATATCCTGGTCCAGGTAGAAGAAACAAAGTCAGTAGCATTGTTTAGCACACATTTTATTAATTTAATTACAAGAATATAATGGAAATATTCTCAAAGGTTTTACTGATATCAAGACATGCTACATCCACAGCATTCCCTCCCTAGATTTATCAAGCTTGTAACTCTCTTATCAGAGAATGGTGGAGGGAGAGGGTTTGTCTGGCATAACTTTTCTTTTGAGAAACCTATGTTTTTGCACGGCATTGCTTTCTAAGTGCTTAAATTTTTTTCTTTTAATGATTGGTTCTAGATTTTTCCTTGTATTGCTGTCTGGTTGATTGGGTGGTAGTTGTTTATGTCCTCTTCCCCCCCCCCCTTTTTTTTTTTTGTGCAGAGGGGAACAACATTTCCCTCCTCAAGTCTTCTGGAACCTCCTGTCTTCCAGAAATTCTCAAAGATGATTGCCAGTGATTTTTAAACTACTTCTGCCAAATATACTTGGATGCCGCTCATTTGCCCCTGGAGACCTAAATTGATTTAAATTAGCCAGATATTCCAGTGCTGCCCCTTTACCTATTCTGAACTGCATTTCCCTACTGCATTCTCTATTCCATCATCCCCAAGTTGAGCATTATTGACCTTTTGGAATAAGACTGAGGCAAGTAAGTTTTTTTTAGTAGTTCTACATTTTCTCTGTCCCCTGATAGCATTTCATGATCTTCTGTATGCAGCAGTCCAACCATTTTGTTGTTCTTCCTTTTGCAATGGACATAACCAAAACACTTTTAAAAATGTTTTTAATCTCTCTAGTAAGCCTGAGCTCATTCAGCACTTAGGCTTTTATAACATTCTCTCTACATATGCTGGCTATTCATTTTAGTTCCTCTATGGTGATTTCTCCCTTTCTCCATTTCTTGTACATGTCCCTTTTATATCTTTGCTCAACTGAAATTTTCTTAGACATCCATTCTGGTTTCTTTACACACCTCCCATTTTTCCTCCTCATTGGAACTGTTTTAAACATTGCCTGCAATATCTCATTTTTCAGAAACTCCTGTCCATCATGAACTCTTTTCCCTCTTAGTATTCCTGATCATGCCCAATTTTTTTTTCTCTAAGTTTACTGAACTCAGCTTTCTTAAAGTCTAGAATGCCTGTTTGACTATGCCTGACTTCCTCTTTGTGTTTTAATTGTCTGTTGTTTCTATTGCATTGAGTTGTTGTCTATGTGTAAAGCCACCTTGAGTCCCCTTCAGGGTGAGAAGGGCGGGATACAAATATAGTAAATAAATAAATAAATTCTGTTGCAAAACTCTAGAAGAACATCATGATCCCACTAAAAGATTCTACCACATTTACCCAATTTACCATGCTGTCACTGTTGACTAGGATCAGATTTAAAACAGCTGATTCCCTTGTTGTCTCTTCCACCTAATGGAAAATAAATTGTCTGCAAGTCAAGTGAGGAAGTTCTTGGACCTAATATTCTTGTCAGGGTTGGATTTCCAACAAATATTAAATATCTCACCACTATTACATCTCTCCTTTCTGAATGTGTGGTTATTTGTTCCATAAAGACAGCAGTCAAATCATCACTCTGGTTTGGAGGTCTGCAATGAACCTCCACAATGATATCTCTGTTGTTTCTTTCCCCCTTATTTCTCAGTAACCTTCAACCTTGCTTGCAGGATTTAAGTCATGGACCTCCTCACATGTATAAACTTCATTGACATGCAATGCTACTTCTCCTCCTTTCTCGTTCTGTCCTTTTCTCAGAAATATGTTTTACTCCTTCATTACTACATTCCAATTATAGGACCCAACCCACCAGGTTTCAGTTATGTCTTTTTCACCATATTTGTTTTACTGTATTAATTCATGTTCTTCTTACATATTTCTAATACTCTGTGCATTAATGTAGAGATACCAAAGACCATGGGCCATGCCCTCTAGCTGCTTTTTTCCCCCAAGAGAAATGCCAACTTTCACATGCTAAAAGTATACCTACCCACATCCTCCAGCAAGAACACAAATTTACCACAGTTTTTGCAGGCAACTACATGAACTTCTTCATGTAGTTGCCTGAAATTTTTAGCAGTCTTAAGTAGAATATGGAACAGAACTAGGGACCTCATTTTCAAAAATTTCCTGCTAAATACCCACATAAAACACCCCTGTTTGCAGTAGTTTGAG